AACGCAAGATGCAAGGCAAGCCGGTCTCCTCGGCTCCATGCCTCGCCCGCGTCCAGGTTCCACCTTCAGATCGCCGTCTTCGCCCTCGCCCCGGCTTGACTTCATAAGGAGGGGGGGGTGTTACATGTTGCGCCTGCACACGAGGGCCATTTTCCAGGCCCTGCGTCCCTCAGGCTGAAAGCCTGAAAACCAGGGTCTGCAGGCCCCGTGTCTATTCAGCCCGAAAGCCTGAGAAACAGGGGTCTACAGACCCTGTGTCGTTTCAGACTAAAAATGGCAATAGCCTTTTTAGCCTAAAACGAAGGGCCATTTTCGGTCGTTCATCAGAACGACCGGCCCTGAAACTCAGGCACCGAACCAGGGTTTCGGGAACAGGTTATTCTTAGCCTGTTCCCACGACAGCCTCAGCAAATGCTGCAGCGCCAGCCCCTGGCACACTTCGGCATTTGCAAGAGCAGCCTCCTCGGCCTAGCTGGCCCTGCAGGCAGTCAGGAGGCAGGCCGAGGTAGTACATAGTAACAAAGGGACTTCCCATGCTCTTCACAGGTAGGCAGGAGGCAGTCAGTAGTCTTTAGGATTCGGCAGCAACACTCTGGAGGGAGCGCTGCAGGAGTAGTAGTAGTGTTAGGATTAGTCTTCAGCGCTGGGCGCAGTAGGTAGCTGTAGTCTTCAGCGCTGGGCGCCATAGCTAGGATAGCACTTGAGAGAGAGGGATTGGGTGGAGGTCAGGAGTACGTACCTGCAGCGCCGTTGCTCCAGCTTCGTCTTCAAGGTACCTGCAGCACAGCGCCAACTTCACAAGTTAGTATCTGGCTCGTGACAAAGAGAGTGTTCTTCTTCTTCCTCTTCTCAGTCCACCATCTCCCTCTCACCCTCTCATTATCTGACTTCACTGCATCTGCAGATTACGAGAGAAAGAGAGAGAGAGAGAGAGCTTGGTGACATCGGATCCAGACTCGACTTTTGGGCTTCAGGCATTGCGAGGAGGGATTATTTGGGACTTGTGACAAAGGCTTGGTGTTGACGACATTCCCATCTTTCCCCCTCTCTTCGTCTGATCCCCTCCTCTTCGTATGTGTATGTCTGGACCTGGCGCTTTCTTCATGTGTACAGCGCCAGATACGATGTATGTTTGGTCTGCGTTCAAACATTGATTGGGCTTGTCATTGGCATTCTAGCATTCTGCTTCCCTATCTTATACTACGTGAATGAGGTCGGTCCCGGTCAGGTCAGGATTTGTATCTAAGTCTTCCCTGCGCTATTCAGCACCATTTTTTATGTATTAGAATGCACATTGCTTGTTGAGATTCTACTTGCACTGCATTGTCCATTCAGTCATTTTCATCACATTGCCGATCCTCGGTTTCTATGTACATCGCCCAAATGGGCATGTAACAGTTCGAGAGACGTCCCAAGTACATTTACCGCGACCTAGGTTGTACGATCCTAGGCAGCCCTTACGTACATCCCAGGTATACCATAGGTATACATTGTTTTTACCTCCTTGAGCGATTCCTAACGTTCCTTCATACCTCATCATCTTGTTCTAGTAATTGCTTTTGCCTTTCATCGACAAAAAACTGTGTCAGCATCATCAGCCTTTTGGTAAATGGTCCGGCCGATCAGGTTCATTCGACTAATAAATACCTCCTGCAAGTGTGATTGTCGCGGGTTGCAACCTCCCCGCTGGTGGCATGACTGCTCACTTTTCGGACTTGCAGTTAGCCTCAATTGCCGAGAACCTGTGTTGCACCCCGTACGACGTACGGAGGGTTTATCGTACGGTCGTACGTACGGCCGTATGTACAGCCCCGTACGAAAAAAAAAAAAAGAAAAAAAAAGGAATCGTTTTGTTTTTTATCTCAAATTTGGTAACGAATTTCAATATGAACCTAAGGCAAAAGTGTTTCAGTTTATTTTTCTGCATAACATATTTTGTTTTCAGATTTTTTTGAATTTTATTTTTTTGCTTTTTTTCCGTACCTACGTTCCGTACTACCAAATGAGCCCGTACGTACGGCCCGTATTCGTATTCGTATGGGGGTCTACACTGCCGAGAACCCTGATTTCACAAAGTTCGGATCCCAGCGGACTTTAAGTGATGTGTGTCGCCAAATCCATCGACTCGCAAGACCCCGCAGGTGGCATGACTGCTCGCTTTTCGGACAAGCAGATAGCCTCAATTGCCGAGAACCCTGATTTCACAAAGTTCGGATCCCGGCGGACTTTAAGTAATGTGTACCGCCAAATCCATCGACTGAGTGTCGTTAGACCCTGATTCGGGAACACCAAATGTGTTGTCATTGCCAACAACGTTTATGACGAGCGTCGAAGATTTTCCGCTTCAACCCTGTGAGCCCCAGTCATCAACGGTTGCCCCATTCTCCGCGGAGACATCGCTTCCCAAAAATACATTCCTGCAACATCAGGGTCTGACAGTCGTTGCTGGTGACTCGCAGCAAAAAAGAAAACGGTCGTCCTCGACCCCTGTAAACCCCGCCCGCCAATCCTGTCCTTCCTCCCGTTTCGACCGAAGTCCGCCGGAATCCGAACTTCCGCATCCACGGTTGTCGGCTCAGCGCCACAGCCCCTATGTTCTCCTGGTCTGGCACGAGGTGCAGGCGACGAAATCTTTCCGAGCCTAGGGGAAGATTCATTCTCTAGGGAAAGATTCATTCTCATTTTGCACATTCGGTGAGGAGTAGAGCAGAGTTGTGTTGTTCATATCAGTTGTAGACTTGTAGTCTCCACAATTGCCATCCCACTGCTGCGTATGGAAGTCGTGATCCCATCCGGTGGGCTCGTCTTCGTGCGCACCACCTTCACCATAGCGGTCACGGAGTGTGTATCTCCCCATGTTCTAGCGGAAGATTCACACCCAGATAGTACACTTGGTGAGTAGCATCGTGTTGTGTGTGATCAATGTCGTCGCCTGGTTGTTATGGTGGTCTCTGCTTCGATCTCGTTCCTGACCTCCACGGTGGTCACATTTGTGGTTTGAGTGTATCCTTCCATGCTCTAGTGAAGGATACAGTGCGTGTGCGACCTGATCCCTGCCTTTTTTTTGGGCCATCTTCGTCATCGACGTAGAGGTGCGGTGCGCTTCTCAATCACTCTTGTCGTGCGCTTCGTTTAGTTGGCTGTGCTCTCTATTTCAGTTGTAGTTGTCTGTGATCGTCGTGGTGAGTGCAGCGAGTCCTTGGCAGTTACCACCCTGTTCGGACGCTGAGGGAGAGCACCTGCATCTGCCTAAGGGACCGGCCAGATACGCTGCACAGTGGGGAAGTAGTTAACAAGAGAGAGCGGTGAGAGAGCTATAGGGGAAAATAACGAGGAGGGGAGATGATGCATACCTAGTGGATGACCACGGGGAAAGTATTCGAATAGCAGTGTACCTTTCCGTGTTCAATCGAGAGACTGAATCGTGGCAGCGATAGGGCAGAACCACGAATGAATGGGTAGTGATCGGGCAGGACAATGGCTAAACGGGTAATAGTTGAGCATTGCGGAGAGAGAGAGGGGGGGAGGTCAGGGGGAGAAACAGTACGTACCTGATCATTGGCGGTGGCCTGATACCCCCAACAGCAAGCCCCTTAGAACTTAGCCTGGGACCCCACAGGCTGGCTGTTCTTGCCGCGAGCCTCCGCGAAGCAGTTCAGCGGACCCCACAGGTCAGAGAAAGTGGCCGGGAAGAGTACGCCAGGGCGTTTCCACTCAGTTTGCGGCCTTGTCTGGCTTACGTGGACTGTGCCTCCTCTGGGGAAAACTGCCCACCAGGAAGGCTAGCCCTCGGGGACCTCTTCCGTCGCCAGTGAAGTCCGGGAGAGCAATGAACCAGCAGACAAAGGTGTGGTCCACCCGGAAACAAGAGGTTGGAAGTCTATGGGGAGGTCGTGTTGCATGGAAGGCCGTTTTTGTCCATTGGCCTCCGGCCAGCGGGAAGGATGCATCCTTTTTTTAATTCAAATTCAAAAAGGTTGCGAGGGGACGGCGCGCTGTGAGGGAGGCAACACGAGGGAGGCATGCTCTAGGTGTCGTGGTGGGACAGCGGGCGGGGATACAGGTGTCTGAGGACAAGGGTCCGTGGGTGTTTGGATGGAGCAGTATGTGGCATTTGCGGATGTGTGCCGTGAGTGTGGTTGCGCATATCGTCCAACTTGTCCGAGGCTCGTACAGCATGGCCCCGGCGATACGTCCCTGCAGAGAGCATACCTATGCAGAGGGTGCAGTTTTTGTTGTCATTAAGCCATTGGCGGTCCTTCGCCCCCATCCTCGTCTTTTGTGGTTGCCGTGCACGTGTGCATGCGATCCATGCGTCGCTCTATGCAGCTATGGAGTCGGGTGGGCTCAAGTCCAACCTTTTTTGCTAATAGTCGGCGGACGTTCCGGGAGGGATGTCGACGAGTTTCATGGGGTGCATGTAATCACAACCTTGTTGCTTGGGCCAGGATCGCAATCCTTGATAGAGTGGTGAAGGCTGCGAGCGACATGAGTCGGGTTGTTGGCGACCAGTTTCTCCCTCCCGTGCTTGTGCGGCCATCTCCGTCAACTTCATGTGGACAAACGAACACTGGTGTCGCCGGTCCGGGTGGTCGATTCCTCGGCGTGCTCCCTCATGTACGATTTGCCACAGGAGGGGTCACGGTGAGCGCGAGAACCTGTCATTCTCCTTCCACACGTGTGGTTTTGTTCAGTCCGATGGTGGTGCAGAGACGCGAGTGGGACGGACGGCAGGCAGGCTCTTCCTCTTGTGCACAGGCATGCTTCGTACCAGCCTCTTGTGGTGTCCACATGCCTAAAGCCCACGACCATCAGTGGTGGTCGACTATCGCCGTGGCCGTCATCTTCTTCTTCATAGGTGCAATCATTGCCATCGTCGTGACGTTGTTCCTCGTCCGTTGTTCATCATCCTTGTCCTGCTACTGCTACTGGCCAACCTCTGCATTTTGTTGCGTCGGAAGTGTAGCTGAAGGCGGTGCAGGCAGGTGTTTACGTCGCAGGAATGGATGACAATGGATGGGTGTCGGACATACCCAGTTCGGGAGGGCCGCGCAGCTGGTTTTCGGGGTACATGCAGGACGACAACCTCGGTTTCGAAGCCCAGCTGTCCATGAGGCTGTCGTCTATGACATCGGACCCGGAGATCTGGGCTCGACATGGCACTCAATCACCTGCGCACATGCGTTTCCCGGTTACCTTCTCATCTGGCATGGATGCACCATCCAGACCAGTTTCGGACCTTGGTACTCGCATTCGTCCTCCACCTTCGGCAGCGGTGGGTGGAACTGCACATGGCCCCATTGACAGTACACGGATCCTGGTGGCTCCGAGTCTGCAACCTTCCCAAGGCACCTCCTTTATTCCTCCTCCAGCTCCTGCCTGTATGCAGCCCCCTTTGGTCAATCGCTTATGCATCGGTGTTGTGGAGAGGGTGTGGGCGAACCTCCGCACTGTTGCGGGTGGTGTCGTTGAAGACGTGCAGAGGATGCCGCAGGGCATAGGTGCGTCCCCATCAGCAAGGGACCATGGAGACATGACCGACCGATGCAGTCCCCTCTTCGCAGACGTCGTGCGACGGGGGCGCAATCCATCACCCACCATGCGACACGCGGAAGAAGAGTCACATCCGGCAGTGGCGGATGCACGTGGACGAGAGGCCGGACGACCAAGCGGGAGGGGAAGTGTTGGGGGACGGTTGCCTGAAACTGGCAGTGAAGTGGATACAGGTGATGATGCCATGCAGCCCGAGGGAGGCGAAGTGACAAAGAAGTGGAGAACCAGGCCATGGCCGCTGGAGGAGCGCATTGATTTGGCGACGTTCATGAAGAGGGACAACGCCATGATGACTGTGGCGTCTGGTCGGCTGAGCCACGTGAGAACATCAGTGAAAAACGAGTGGGTGTCCAAGAAGATGAAGGCGGAAGGTTGGATCAGGTCCGCTGTTCGTCATCCTTGTCCTGCTATTGGCCAGCCTCTGCATTTTGTCACGTTGGAAGTGTAGTTAAAGGCGGTGCGGACAGGCGTTTACATCGTAGGAATGGATGGTAGTGGATGGGCGTTGGACATACCCAGTTCGGGAGGGCCACGCAGCCGGTTTCTGGGGTACGTGCGGAAGGTTGGATCAGGGCTCGGCATGGCACTCAATCACCCGTGCACATGCGTTTCCCGGTTACCTTCGCATCTGGCATGGATGCATCGTCCAGACCAGTTTCGGACCTCGGTACACACATTTGTCCTCCACCTTCGGCCGTGGTGGGTGGAACTGCACGTGGCCCCGTTGACAGTACGCGGATCTCGGTGGCTCCGAGTCCACAACCTTCCCAAGGCGCCTCCTTTATTCCTCCTCCAGCTCCCGCCTATATGCAGCCCCCTTTGGTCAATCGCTTACGCACCGGCGTTGTGGAGAGGGCATGGGCGAACCTCCGCATTGTTGCGGGTGGTGTCCCTGAAGACCTGCAGAGGATGCTGCAGGGCGTCAGTGCGTCCCCATCAGCAAGGGACCATGAAGACGTGACCGACGGATGCAGTCCCCTCTTCGCGGACATCGTGCGACCGGGGCACGATCCGTCACCCACCATGCGACCTGTGCAACCGTTTGAACGCCGTGAACGCAAGTGCACGTTCATACCCCCCGGACCGGCGTTCAATCGCGTTCAAACGCGCTACGCACGCGCGCACGCGAAAAATTTGAACGCGAGCCCGCGGGGCATGCACACGCGTCGGGGCCTACGGGGTGGTGGCACTCGTTCAACAAACCACAAAAGTGGGAAAAAAAAGCCTCCGCGGAGTACCACCACCCCCGCCACAAGTACAGCGTCACCCCCCACCATTGTGTGTGTGTGAATGTGTGTGTGTGTGTGTGTCTGTATGATCCTTCTTTTTTTTTCAGGGGGGTGGGGGAAACCCCCTAACATGGCTCAGACGGCCCATGCAGGTTGTCTGAGGGGTCCTCGCAGCCATGTGGCTCAAACCCCCCCACCCAAATCGAGGCAGGTATCAAGTATGAGGTAGAGCACGAGCTGGCCAAATTTATGCACACACATGCACGTTCAGATCTGTGTTTCAGCAGTTATGGGTTGCTCACGATGCTAGGCCGTGGTGGTCTATGCACGTGATTCTCAGGGCTACAGCATGTATTTCTAAGAAAAAAGAAAAGGAGAAAAAGAGAAAAACAAGAAAAAAAAAAAAAAAAAAAAGAATGAATCTTCTGCAGAACATGGAATAATACACTGCCATATGTTTTGTCTTTTGTGCATGTGCTGAGTAGAGGCCCTTAGGGCCACTGCACGTATTCCTAAGAAAAGAAAAACGATTTTTCTTGTTTTTCTTTTTTCTCGTTTTTCTTTTTTCTCGTTTTTCTTGCTTTTCTTAGGAATACGTGCAGTGGCCCTAAGGGCCTCTACTCAGCAGATGCACAAAAGACAAAACATATGGCGGCGTATTATTCTATGTTCTGCAGAAGATTCATTCTTTTCTTTTGTTTTTCTTTTTTCTTGTTTTTCTCTTTTTCTCCTTTTCTTTTTTCTTAGGAATACCTGTTGTACGTGCAGAGACCACCACGGCCTAGCATCTTGAGCAACCCATAACTGCTGAAACACAGATCTGAACGTGCATGTGTGTGCATAAATTCGGCCAGATCGTGCTCTACCTCATACTTGCTGCCTGCCTCGATTTCAGTGGGGGGGTCTGAGCCACATGGCTGCGAGGACCCCTAAGACAGCCTGCATGGGCCGTCTGAGCCATGTTAGGGGGTTTCCCCCACCCCCCCGAAAAAAAAGAAGGATCACACACACACACACACACACACACACACACAAATTCACGCACATTCTTTT